TTTCAATTAATGATATCGCGAATCATCAAACATATACAGGGTGTTCCTAAATAAGTGTCGCAACGGAAAACTGTATATTCCTCTTGAAACGAGATACATTTTTTTCCTCTTCCATTTTTCTCTCCGGGCTTTCGTTTTCGAGATACACGGTGTCAAAACTTTTTTTCAGATTTTTATCCAATATCTTAGGAACCGATTGAATACAGGTTTGAGCTTTTGTACACACATTACCATTATTAATAACTACTTGTTGCTAATGTTGTTAAATTTCGTTAAAATTGTTAATTATTACTACCTATGTTTTGAATTACAAAAGTTTTTCGGAACGTTAGCAAAATGTTTGTTTTTGTTCATAAAGTCATTTTTCTTGAAAACGGTTGACTTTAGAGCAATGAACCAAGAGAACTCTTCTTGTGTAAAATTCATTGGCGCTTCAGAATTTGCTGTCAAATGTCAATTTTCCGTAAGTGGCGTAAAAGTTAGGGGGGGGGGAAACCCTTACGATATCTCAAAATTTCCACCAGTGGCACGTTCAATGAATTAGAGAAGGGTGCGAAAAAGTAGCTATTAATAGTGGTAACGTGTGTACAAAAACTAAGTTCTGTAGTTCAAACGGTTCCTAAGATATTGGCAAAAAATATAAAAAAATGAAAGCTTTGACACCTTGTATCTCGAAAACGAAAGACCGGAGAGAAAAATTGAACAGGAAAATAATGTTTATTTTTTTAAGAGGAATTTACAGTTTTCCGTTGCGACAGTTATTTAGGGACATCCTGTATAGCTACTACATTTTTCAAGAAATTCGTGGCTTCAAAATAACGCCGGATATATTTACGCTCGATTTGAAAAATAGTGAACACAAAACGTAGTAGTAGAAGGAACATGGAGACACTCCACACGTAGCTTAACTCCGGGAGAACCTCTGTGGGATTTAAAAAATCCAGGATTTACGATAATCTGTCCTTGTACTCTCCGTAACCCCTTCGGCGCGGTCGTTGCAGTATGCAAACGTTCTCCGAGGGAATAAATATGTTGTACATGTGGAAAATGTAGAAGAGTTACTGCAAGCCATGCACAGTCGGTGGAATACTAGATGTGGCCTTAAGGGCCTCTTTATAGTTCCAAAGTGGTCGTTTGCGAGGAGATCTAACTTGGTTGGAAAAGTATAGTTTCTTGAGAAAGTCAATTTAAATGTTCTGTGGTGAATGATAGAAGTGGTGGTAGTTTAGACAGGACTTATATCAATAAAACGGAGGCAATTCTTAAGCCGTATCGTTCTGCTCCGTGGACATTATAATAATGAAAATTAAACACCATATAGCTTGGGAAATCCCGCTATCAGCCTTCCGCGTACAGGTGTTTCTGGCCGGCAAAGATAACAGACTGTTTTCTTTGCAAACATTGGCGTCGCTGGGGGAACCTAGCAGGGAAACGAGTAGCGCGCGGAGGTTGGCCAGATGTGTGTCATCGGCACCGTATCGTTTACAAACAGCGTCCGTCCGTAAGGAAGATAGATATTGCTGATGCAGTGGTCGATGCACGTGTCGGCTGTCGTGAGCTGGGAGAATAACCGCAACGAGATTAAGCGTGGAAAATTTTGAGTTAAAAAGTTTATAAGGCATTTAAAACAGCTAGTAAATAAGGGCGTCTGCCGTCGAATATTGAATGCCGAGTGCTGAATAGTGAATGTATCTCATCTGCCCTAGCTGAGGAATTTGTTTATTTTACTTAGCCCTTGCCTCTCGGGTTAAGTGTCCACATTATCGGTCTTCGCTCGATTTCTAACAATATCTATCTATTTATCTAATTTTTGTCTATTTTTTTAACAATGCTATGTAAAATCTTAGTAATGGAAAAAAATAGCTCTGTTTTTAATAGGTAATAGGCACTCATGAATACGAGCATAATAACACATCCCCACAAAAAAAAGTGGCAGGTCCGAAAGACAAGACCATGGTATCCATATGGTTTTGGGGTCGCTGAATCCGAATCCGGTGTCCGTTTGACACGATTAGCTCTGGTTTAAGGTCAGTTCAAGCTCAAATGTAGAAAATCAATTGTCAACAACCCAAACCTACGTATCTACACGTTTTTGGAGTCGCTGAATCCGAATCCGGTGTCCGTTTGACTCGATCAGATCTGGTTTAAGATCAGTTCAACGTCAAATGTAGGGAATCAATTGCCAACAAAGTAAATATACATATCTATAAGTTTTTGGGGTCGCCGAATCAGAGTCTGATGTCCGTTTGACTCCCTGAAATTCGCTAATCCCGTTATCCCTCCCTCCTCGTCTCCCGAAACATTACAAACTGCGAAAGTAATAAAAACAAGACCGAACTCCGCTGCGGGCGCAACGCCTCTACGGGGCTTTTTGCTTTGTGGAATATATTTTGATTGTATGTAATTTGCACAAATTTAACCGGCCGACAAAAACCGGGGTCATATGCTAATGCGCCGAATTATTTCTTATCGGCCTTTTTCTGCGACTCTCCCGATTGCGTTTTCCGCCCCTGGGCATTAGCCTTCGCCGACGGCCATTGTTGTTTGGCAAGTCATTTATTTGGGCGCCCCGTTCAAATACTAACATTTAATGGAATATCGGATGTGATTCGACTGAGGATTTACAGCGCAGCAGTGGCTCTGTCGAAGGGCGTTCGGCCGCTGCTTAATGGAAAAACTTCTGGGTTGCCCCCCCTCCCCCCCCCCTATACTCATGAACATTTTTATGTGAAATTACACACTAGATCGTTTGTTGACTTGACTACACACTAGGTGATGTAAAATTATCAAGTAAAGTTACACTAAACATGTAATTTTTCACTTTATTTTGTAATTCACTTAAATTGTAAATTTACAATGTTGAACAAAAAGTTCCTAGCCGAGATATGAGGTGTCGATTTTTTTTTAAACTTTTTTCGTGATATCTTTAAAAACAATTTGCCAAATTGAGTATGTCTTGTGGCGATATAATGTTCTTTAAAAATTACCTACAAACAATTCACTAGAATCACCAGTGGCGTGTAGACGGGTGCTCTTTCTTAAATAGAATTTCTACGTCTATGACTTTTTTAATGAAATTTGGATACACCCCTCAATTGGGTTAGTAAATTTCGTACTTGTACGTTTTAAATTGTAAAATGCGCAACATAAAAAGTAAGAATACATCGTAAAAAGCAAATACACTCTCATATGTGCTTTTTTGTGTAAACTCCTCTATTTTAATTAAAATGAAAAGTTTTGCCAACTTTGACGGGAACTCTGGGGGTCTATTTAAATGTATCCGAATTTGGTCGCATTTAAGCAAGCATTTTAGTGCTTGTTGATGACATAAGGACTTCCATAAACAATTTCAAATGCGTCGTGTGCAAAGTGGCAGTTTTTTGCTTAATAAAAATATGGCTTTATAAGGGCCTGCCTAATAAATTTTTACCTTGTGGCATATCACAATAGATACTATAATGAAATTCATTGTGCGTTCTAATGTAAACAGGACTTCATCGACCTAATGCCGTACAAAATTAGCAATACAGGAAGCCAGGAAATATGATTTTCTGAAAATTTTGGCCCGGTTTTTGGTGATTTACTACAGTACGACATTTATACTGCAAGTTTCGGATTGATACGTAAATAACTTTTTTTAGTGACGCCGTACGTATCTGCTGATACAGGGGTTAGAAATGTAGGGCGCAACCCTCTATTTTAGCCCCCATTGTTTCAAGTCATTGAAAAATGTACGGCATCGATTCCACATGATTATTTAACTCTCATGCCGTCTGAAAATTATGGTTAATGCAAAAGTTTATAAACAATTACTTGTATTTTTGAATTGAGTTTTATTTTTTTTCGATAAGATCATTAATTCCTGTACGGCAATCACCTTTTTGATAAAATATAACCACAAACTATCGTACTAAATCATGTCCGGTTATAATTAATGGTACAAATTAAAAATTCGAATTAAAAAACAAATAAATATATTGTGAAAATTTACAATATTTTGAAAATTCCTTGTTATAAATTAAAAATGTTATATTCAAAATATTATGACTGTAATTGACTTTTCATAAGTAAAAAAATAAATAAAACAATGCCGTACATTTTTAACTAGTGGATTTTACATAGCTGATAATATTTTTCATTAAATTTTTACTACATTTCGTTTCTAATACCCGCCCTGCGGGATTTTCTTGTTACCTTCCCCTATTATCACCGTTGGTAGTACTGAAACGGACTGCGCAACTCCATCCGGACATAACGAGTTACCCGCAAACGCACACAAAGCATTAAACTTCATTACACGTGATGCGAAACAGCGATACGGCGACAATAACAGGAGCCGGCAAAAAGCGCCTCTGCGACGCGACGGCTATAAGTCATCCACTCAAAGGAGAGGACCTTTTTGCGTTCCCCGACGTAATTACATTGTCTGGTTACGTACGACCTCAAGGAGGCCGTGTGTCGCAGCAAGAAGCGGGACTACGGTAGGAATCCCATTTTCTGGATGGGGGGGGGGGAAGGGGGAGAGGAGGTTTTGCACTGCCTCTGGAAAAGATGTTGGCGGCTTGATGAATGCTGTATAGTCGGCGGGAGGGAATTTAAAGGGAAGTTTATATCAAATAGGATTAGATCTTTTGAACACTGTAATGCTTCTATTCGACACCTAAATATTACTTCAAGGTCGATCAAAAGATTTGTACAGCTGAATTTATTTATTTCAATATTAATGAAATATCTCAGTTCTATATTATGTAATTATATAGATTTTTCGAAACTTTCGAGTGCCTCAAGGCTCTATCTTTGGCCCTCTATTGTTCAATCCATTTATAAATGATGTATAGTAGATAAATTTAACGCTGACGTTTTTCCTATTGGTTTTGTTCAATCAGTCCTGCTACCAGACTATCCAGTAACTGCAAAAATTTGAGGCAAACCATTTTAGAAATAATTATTGTTTAATAGTTATAACAGGTACTAATTTATTTATTTTTCCTTGTTTTCAGGTGCTGCATTAATGAAAATTGTAGAAGTCTACAAGGAAATCCAAGATCAACAAATGAATATTGTAAGTACTAGAAAGAATATAACCCATTTTATATCAAGGTATGAGAAAATAGAGAAATTCCGTGAATTTAAATGTCCTTGATTATTCCACTTTTCCACAAATTGTGTCCACCCCACGGAATATTCGTACACGGACGAGAGAATTAAAACGAGGCAAATTTTTCCGAACGTGTCACAATTAACTCTAACCCCCTCCTATCGTATTTTGGCTAAGCGTTCTCTCAAAAGACTGTAACTCCGCTATCTGACGGATTAATTGTCCCCCACCTTCATTTGTTTCCGTTTGGCCCGCTCCGTCACGGTGCGTTGACTGCCTTTTCTTTAATTTAATCACGGGAAGACTGCCTAAAATCCCCTAAGCCCCATTATCTCGGCGCTCGAGGATTTCGCGCGAATTTGAAGACGCTTAGCAATTTGTTATTAAGTTGCATAGTTCCGTACTTCTTTCCACGATTTTCGTTCTAAATTCCTATTATATTTTAAAATGATTTTGTATTATATAAGCAAAAGTGTAGCTGCTCATAAACGAATCTCGAAATTACGAAATACTTTGCGTATATCGCGTATCATATGACTCAGAACATAGCTAATACAATGCGAAATATCGCCTTAGTGTTAAAAATGTTGTCACCGCCGTTCTTGGTGGTAAAAATTCGAAATGGATCTAAAACGTAAAAACAAAGAAAAACTAGCTCACGAAAGAACAAAGTCGGCATACCCTCGTTTCTTTGAATTGCAGATTATACGGTTGAATAATTGTCGATTTACTTGTCACGAAGTAAATAAAAAAAGGCAACTGATGACGTTTTCAGTTAAATCGTTCACATTTCCTTTGGATTTCCCATCCGATAACCTGTTTAAGCGTACGTAATGAAACAGTTGACAGGCCTACATTTTGTAGGGTATTTCATTAAAATTTCTCGTACCTGATAACAAGGGGACAATTAATTAGAGCACCCACCGCTCGCCGTTCTCAATCCACGAAAATCAACGTTGGCCGACAGTAAGCCGCTCGCACATACATGAAAAATTCGCCGGGAAAACGAATTTTAATGAATATATTAAAAACTGTCGAACCGTTAAGTGATCGAACGGAACCGGAATTGTGAAATATATCAGGTTCGCAACGGCGTTTTTTTATATTACTCCTATATTATTATTCAAATCATAATTTTAATTCAGCGGGACCTATGGGTTTGTACTGATTTTAATTAAACAAATGTTTTAAACAAATATTTCTGTAGTAAAATTTATTTTTAATCGAAAATACAATGGGCGGCGTGCGTTCTAGGTATCCCATTATCAATAAAATAAATAAATGCGTTTGTAACGGCGGTTTTAAATTCAGTCTCGCTAAATTAAAATCGTATATTCCGAAGAGTTTGATTTAATTAAATGAGAAGCGTACATTTTTTAAAATAACTGCGCCTCCAATAAATGTTCCACGTAACTGAAAATTTGTATGTGGGTATAAAATTGCAAGTTTTCTAAATACATGTTTTAAAATCTTGCCAAATAACTGTAAGACTATAAAACTCCAGGTCCAATACGGTTGGCAGTAACTTATAAATAAATCAAACCACAGTTTTAACTACTTCTTACTCTGACAAAATAATTTCGTGTATTCTCATGTAATGTCCCGTGCTTACGATATCTGTTTCAAAGTGTCCATATTTGGGTGAATCGTCTATCCAAGGAGATTTCTGGCTTTTTGGTTTTCAAATATCACCAGAAATGAAAATTTTTCTATGCGTATAAAAAAAAACGTGAGCTTAACTTTTGGCGGCACAATATGTTCCTATTTAATTATGTATCTTTTCAAGAGTTTATTTTAGGCGAAAATGGAAGAGGAAAAAAATGTTTGTAATTAAATTTTTTACAATATATGACTAGTTACAAATCGAATGAATCATGATTATTATTGTAAAAATAGAAGAAATCGCCAAAAATGGGGTTAAAAAACATTACTTCTTAGGGATTTTGTTTGGGGTCTTTAAGTTGGGTATAGGACCTTCATACTTGGCTCAAGAAAAGTTCATGTTATGTAGAATCATCATACCAAATTTCATCAAAATCGGTTCGATAGATTTTGCGTAATAATTTTGCAATCCAGATTTTGAAAAAAAATTTGCAATTTTTCAAAATTTTGCACAGTAAAAATCAAGGCCCTTAGATAAGTAGGTACTTTAAAATTTAATCACATATAGAAGATTCCTCAAGATTTCAAACACTTATTATTAATTAATTATTTATCTTTAAACTTCTTTTAATTATCAACTTTATTTTTTTATTGTATCAAAGGTAAGTGCATAAACTTATATACTGTTTATCAAAGATCAAAAACAAATTTATTTAAATATTCTAAAATTGTTTAAACAACAATTATTTTCAAAATATGTATGTCAAAAGTTAGTAATTAATTAATTATTAATTTAATCATCATTTCTTTCGTGATTAAAGTATAATTCAACTATTATTTACTGTTTAAAATATAAGCAAATGAGAAATTAACTCATTATATTACAAAAATACAAAATTATAGTCCAAAAATTCGACCAATGTTTAAACAAGCGCCAGAGCTCTCCTAATTGACGAATTCGAATTTTTCAAATAGCGTTTGAAAGCTTGAGAGCCCTTCTATATGTGATTAAATTTTCAAGTATGTAAGGGTCTTGGTTTTTGCTGTGCAAAATTTTGAAAATTTGCAATTTTTTTTCAAAATCTGGATTGCAAAATTATTATGCAAAATCTATAGAACCGATTTTGATGAAATTTGGTGTGATGATTCTATATAACATGAACTTTTCTTGAGCCAAGTATGAAGGTCCCATACACAACATACAGACCCCAAAAAAAATCCCTAAAAAGTAATGATTTTTAACCCCATTTTTGGAGATTTTTTCGATTTTTACAATAATAATCATAAATCATTCGATTTGTAACTAGTTATATTACGTAAAATTTAATTACAAACATTTTTTTCCCTTTCCATTTTCGCCTAAAATCAACTCTTGAAAAGATACATAATTAAATAGGAAGAAAAATATGACATTCTTCGAACTTTTTTAACATACTGTGCTGCCAAAAGTTAAGCCCACGTTTTTTATGCGCATAGAAAAATGTTCATTTCTAGTGATATTTGAAAGCTAAAAAGCCAAAAATTTCCGTGGATATACGATTCACCCAAACCAAAACAGATACCACCTAGTCTAATATCAGTTTCCAGCTTTAGGCGTTTTCTTTCCTGTCATATGCGTGCAAGCGAAATACGTTAATATTTTCGATTTTAATTATTCCAATAAGTACTGTTAAAAATCTAACAACAATCAGAGATCAGAATGATGCAGTGGGACTGAATTTTCGTTACTTAAAAAGAAAAAAAAACAGTGAATTTGTAAGGAGAATATAGTTATTTACGTTCTGTTAATAATTTTTGAGGAAATAGCTAAATAATTACTAATCAGTCAAACCTACTGTTTGTAACTACGTTTATTCCCCACATAAACAAAACTTTTTCCCCTCCCCTCCCCCCCATATTTCGTTTATATTTACCGAGTGCAGCTCAGCCGTTGTAGCAAAATAAATATTTACGTCCAACTTTCGGTATAATCTAATCTAATCTAATTAATATTTGCATCTCGTTAGCCTTTGAATACATTAGTATTATTTAAGCATAGACGGCAATAATATAAACTGCTGCCGGTAATGACGAGTTGTTTTTCTTCTTTCTAGCTCAAAGCCTTCTACGTGGATTTGCTGGTCCCCCTGGAGACCAACTTGGAGAAGGACACCAAAGTTGTGCAGGTAAACATATTCCTTTTTAAAAATCTGACATCAATTTGAGACAATTAATAGTTAAAAGCGCGGAGAACAGTCGGTTCGAGACTTTCGAACGGTGTGACGTCACAAAGCATATTTAGGAGATTGAGTTATTAGAGGTTCATGTAATTTTAAAATCCTGAAATATTTACATTTCCCAGCTTGCTTATATTTTAACGTAAATGAAATGAGGCACGCGAACTAATAATAATTGCATCAGCTCAACTTCCGGAACACCTACATACTTCGCTAATTCCGATACGAAATATTTATGGAGTTATTCGTGAAGTTTACGCCAACTGCGGGATTTTTGAGAAAGCAGCAATTAAAAATTAATAAGAAAACTTTGGATAACTTACATAAATCGCAATGAAATGAGTACAACGTTCGTAACTTTCTAAAACTTGTTTGAAGCTATAGGAATGCCCGATGAAAAGGCATTTTTAATTTGTTTGCGCGATTGAGTATATAAAAAATTTAACGTTCTCTTTCCAGTCGGAGCAGAAGCGGTTCTTGCAGCAGCACAAGCAACGGTCGGAGACTTACAGCAAAGCGGCCGCAATGATGAAGAAGCAGAGGAAGAAGTCCAGGGGGTCCACAAAGACCGGGCTCGCGATGGACAAGGAACTCAAGGTAATAGTCGTCCGGATTCTGCTTCGCGGCTCGATGCCTTTGCTGACTTTGCGAAATAACGTTCGGAAAAGGGGAAGTCTGAGGGCTCGACATGTTTAGACGCAGGCGAAATAACAGAGGGTTATTTAGGGTCGACTTGAGTGATTGTTGAGATACGCAAGTTTTCAAAACAAGGGGTGTTGTTCGAGTAAAAGAAAATTCAAGAAGTATTTATATACAAACTGTTTTCTAAAAAACAGTTTGTATTCAGGGTTTTCTAACATTCAATCGTCATTCACTCGAAAACTTTCCTATGTAAGATGGCAACATTTTAATACTGTCGGATCGACAATGAAACGATCTTTCAGAATCAAGAAAAAAATAGGGGGTTGCTATTTAAAAAACAAATGTAGATGACGTCATTACTCCAAAACAAATGACGGTTGAAAATCGCCTTTTATGCTAAAATATGTACTTTTTAAATTAAAAATCGACCTGTTCGGGGATTTTTCCCAAAAAAAATTTGTTTCGTTTTTACTGAATTTATTCCATACTTTAGGCGCGTACTGTATTTATCTAAAAACTGTATCTGGAATTCAAAATTATTAAAAATTAATGTAACTCAATGTAAAATTCAAAAGGATTATGTAAATTATTTAAAAAAATATATGAAAAATCACTCGCAACTTCACACAACGTTTCCGAATCGGCTTGATCCAGTTATCTCGTTCCGTTTTCGCCCTTCCTACTTCCCAGCGTATCTGCAGAACAACGCTTATTCAACTAGAATTTAAAACAAAAAAAATGGAATAAAAGTAAAACGATTCCGCTTCGCAATTTCGACGTGTCGAGAGTGTTACCCTTTGTCATCGCCTCGCAACTCTATCCGTAAAATGTACATGTCGATCCCGACTATTCCCTAGGAATATCCAGAACGATAAATCACCGAAACCCCCCAGCCAGACAACCAAAAATGAATACCCGTCCCCTACCCGGACGTCATAAAATCTGACGGAACCCTTTCTGTTGCAGAACATGCAGGTCCTCGAGGAGGAGAAGACAAAATTGGACGCCTTCTGCGAGCAGAGCTTGAAAAATGTAAGTACGAATTCTATTTAAATCGCTCGCATTGAAATATCGCTGGCGATAAACGGAAATTCAAATTCGACTGTAATTTAATGTTATCCTTTTCAGGCGATGACGCAGGAGCGGAGGAGGTACGGCTTCGTCCTGGAGAGACAGTGCTCCCTGTCGAAGCACTATTTGTCTTACTATAGCCACGGTGTTGAGGCGTACCAGCAGAACATTGAGAAATGGTCGGATGTGGCGAAGACGAGGGAATATCTGCCGGAGTCCGTCGAGAATATTTTCAGTAACAGGCTCAGGGTGAGTAGAGAAGCTCTACGATTCAACGCGAACATTCCGAGAAAGAAAAATTGGTCAAATTGTCGCAGATTAAAAATTTCGTATAATGTACATACATATTATTCGGATTAAGAAATGGATAAACAATGTCTGCTCGATGTATTCATGGTCCAAAGATGATCTAACTAAAAATCCCCAAAGCAATCGCTTTTGGGCTTGCACTTATGCTTTTTAATCGACATTTTATTAAGTCGGTAACAAGATTATACAAATATCGACTGTTGATTGATATATGTGTCCTTAATAGATATTTAACATTATTTATATGTGACGAGAAATAACACTGTTACATTATTTATGCCGATTATGTGAAAGCAGCAGAAGTTTACAAGAAATAACGTATACGCTACACAGCTACAACTTGAGTTTATGTCACACTTGTTTACAGGAAATCAGTTCGGGATTGCAACGGCGAATACACTCATTTAAATTTAACAAGGATGAATTACGAGCGAAATAACATTTCCTATACAAGGAAATCCGTCTTCGCATTCAAATACCTATCTGAATTTAAAATGTTATCTTGACAAAGCGTGCTACACAAAGAAGGGAGTTTGGAAGTAAAGTTCATCAATCTTGCAACACAAACTGTCTTCATTAAGTTCCCGCGAATAAAGATAGTTAAACAGACCAATTAGCGTGTCTTTGTGTATAATTTTCGGAGCTTTTGACAAAAACCGCGGAATAAATGGAATACCGAGTTGTTGGTACATTGTCTCAGAAATGTTTTCGAAGTGTTACGTCTGTTTTCCATAAAGAATATATAATTCACGGGGCGACTGATAATAAAATAAAGAATGAATACGTGAGAAACACTTTGGATACGCCTAAATATCATTTGCTTCCAGCAAATTTCGGTGTGGCAAGACGAGGACCTTTACTCGAACCCAAGAAGTCCCAACTTCGAGGAAGATCGTATGAGTATAAGTTCACAGTTGAGAAAAACTAAGAGCATGGATGCCTCCTGCCTGGACATCCGCTCCATAGAAGACGTGGGGTCGCCAGTGAACACCCTCTCCAGGGCCAAATCCGAGTACAACCTTAATTCGTCCAATAACTCGCTTGCTCAAGGTAGCGGTGCCAGAAAAAGTATTATCCTTCCTCTCTAGGGAAGATTCCAATACTCATTTTGGATTTTTTAGATGGTCACACGCCCAGTCGCCGTCCCAAGTCAATGGCCGTGCCGCCGCCACCTTCGTGGGACACCCAGCTGGCGCGCGCCCTCTACGCTTACCTTTCCAGTGGAGAGAACCAGCTCAGCTTCCACGAGGGCGACCTCATCTCCCTCATCGGCGAAAGGAACAAGGGCTGGCAGTTCGGGGAGAACCTGAGGACCCAGTGCAGTGGGTGGTTCCCTCTAGCCTACACGGAACTCCTGGACGATCCTACCTTGTGAGTAACCTTAATTATCATTATTTTTACTCCATTTTTCGAAAAATATGTTCCTTTTTGGCATTAGTCCTGCTACCCCTTTAATAATTACACCGGACTCCTTTTGTTTCTAGTACACCAGCATTAAAAATACTGTACAAAATTGCAGTTATTCATCTTTTCCTGTTATTCCTTATTAACCATTATTTTTTCTATCTAAAAAATGCTCAAGCGAGTTTTGAAGTAGTTTATGTTCTATATTTATGTATGAGGGGCCATCGATTCGGAAGCGGAGAGCCAAAGGGGCTTTATCGAGATTATAGCCCCCGAAGACGTCGTCCACAACAAGGCAAATATAAAGAATTAGGTTCGAGATGTTATCTCGCCTCATCGGATATAGGATCCCGGTTTCGGTTCGGTTTTAATAAAACTCTCTGAGAGCTGATGGTACAAATAAAGTTACATGTAGAAATAATATCGATATCGAGATACTGCTTTGTTTGTTCGGTTCTATATACGGGGTCACCGAAAATGGGATTTTTTCTCTTAGTATATGCTTATTTGTTAGAAAATGAAACAATGGGAAATGATTATTTTATAACTATTTATGAATACCATCAACATCTAAGCTTTCCTGCAGATCGCCAACGCACAGAAGTGACGCAGGTGGATCCTCTCAACTAAGCAACGCACCCGCCACCCCCACCAACTCCGCCAACTTGATGTCCTCGTCGGCTGTCGGCGGTTCGACTGCCGCCTCCGGTAACAGCACGCTAGAACAACCGACACCCCGTATGTTTGGCGACACACTGCACCTACACAGATCTTCCAATAACGCTAAACAGGTAGAGTAGACGCGCTAGACTTGCAATCACCAAGGATTTCGCTTTTTCTAAGCCAGTTTAAAGCATTAGTAGGTAGGAAATTGTTTGTATTTCGAAACGTAGGAATATTCCGAATAAAAGAAGTCTTGGATATCAAGGGCGAGTGGAAGAGAGATATACTATCGCGTCGTGTGGCTTTTCTTGCACGATTTCCTTTAAAAGGTCTCTCAGTAGTCTCTCCTCGACTCTACCCTACATTTTTTTCTCTACCGTGACAACGCTATCCTTTATTTAGATTCGGCGAGCAATCGGTTCTAACAACATCCCGCCGCCAGCACTGCCGGCTCCAGTCCCGACGCCGTCGCTGCCGTACCAGAAAAACGGCGGGGGTGGCGGCATTCCTCAATCCCAGAGCGCCAACTTCTCCTCCGGCAAGAGCAACCTGGACCCCACTTTCCAGTCGCCGTACTCCACGGCTGGCATCAAATCCTCAGCCTCCACGTTCAATTTCTCCACGGCGCCGCCATCGGGCGCCTATTCAACTCACCCGGCACCCTCCAGGTCGGACCGACCGACGGCCGCAGCCCCTCTACCGCTACACCTGCAGTCCAAAGGAAGCAAGATAGGTGAGTTACTTTCTGCCACCTAGTGTACAGTTTTGGAAGGTCGAGTCGTGATGCGTCGCGCTGACGCGACTCCTTACAAGGAGCGGATGAGTCTCGGCACTTGCGATAAGTTCATTCCGCAAAGTTGTAGAGGAGTTATTGTTCTCAATAAACTTTATACTCCAGTCGCAGAAGACAGTAGAGTTTAGAAATATCAAAAAACATTTCCGCTTCATTCGTTTCTTACTAGATGCGGCTTACTTTTAACTCACCATCAGTACCAATTGCGTCTCGATCGGTTTATCCTTTTAAAAGTTATAAGTAGAAAGACCGTTCGGTACAATTCTGTTTGCACTTAGCATCCACACAAATTATCCTCTATTCACTATTTTTTTTTCCAGGGGGGCCTGTGGGTAACGTGTCGCTCCACAGCAGCAACGACTCCGGGTTCTCCAACGACCCGCCGCCGCAACCGGAAATTGATTATTCCGACGACGATTCCATCCCCGGTCAGACGAAATTGCCTAGCCGGTAAGTTGGCCGCTCGATTGGCGGCATTGCCCGCTGTGTGTGTGCGCGTTGTTATTTGCTTTCCGGGATAAGTGCAAATTCCCCGGATCCGCCGGATAAGTGCCTTTCTGGCAAAGAATGGCTTTCACTCCAATCAATTAATGCAGTCGAGGGTACTTCGAAAAAGAACCCTCGCAAAAAGCCTCCCGTTTACGTAGTAAACGAGAACTAATTATTGAATTAGAACGTTCTGCCATTACACACGTGTATGCCAACAATTTTTTTGTTTATTTTATTACCGTCTATAATAGAAGGCCTTACAACTGATACGTCATCGTTTAATGGTGTCATTACTAGAGGTTTAATAAGATGAATAGTTTAAATTAACGATACAATAACATTGTTCCCGTCGAAACGAATAAGGGGAATTTGCACTTATCCCATATGGCCGGTGTATATTTAAATTGCATGCCGCGCGATAGCGACTTACAGTTAGGCTCTTTACTTCGTTGAAGTGCATGTTACTGAAAACCAGGTTCCGTTTCATTTACAGCTCATCAATGAAACTGTTGTGTATATAGAACTAAACGTTTCACACACAAAAAAACAGCTTTAATTGTTTAACTTTAATTTATAATGGTTATTAAAAATTATTTATAACTTTCTATCGCATAACCTTATTTTTAGATCTTCCACAAATACAGAAATAGACGGGAGATTTTTTGGGACCGATTTTTCGAGATACGCAACGGACATGCACTACTAAACGCCAAAAAGTTCCCACCATTGTTCCATTTCAAAGTAATTTAATTCGTTTTAAAAAAAAATTGTAAACTTGTTGCATGATGTAATGTAGTGCACCCCTTATACTTTGCATCTCCGCTACATAATTGCACTAATCTCTGGGACTTGGTGGCTACTACCCGAAGTACACAGCCTAACTCGTAATCGCAGTTTCTTATTACTTTTATTTTTCTTTTTTTTTCTCTCAACGTCATTGTTTACGCAGAAGAAGAATAGTAAAGGAAACGAACGGAGACGCGAACAACAACACGTTGAACAAACGCACTACCAGCATGAGGAAATCGAATTCTATAAAGCCATCCAGAAGCCATGGCAACCTGGTAGATAACAGGTTCTACATGTCCGACGACCCAGAAGTCGCGTCTAAGGAGAAAAAGAATTTGGTGAAGAGAACCAAGTCGTTTTGGAAGTTCGGTAAAAACGCCTCTGACAACGAGATACTGGAAGGAATGGCCCTTTGGAGACACAGAGACCTGGTGGACGTTGACGATGAGAAGAATAAGATGAGGAGGAAAATTAACAGTCAAGATAGGGTGCGTCGACCTAGCAGGGATAAGTCTAACGACTCTGACAGGACTATAAATAACAACATCGTCAACAACAGTGAGAATGTCGAAGAAAAGCAAAAGGGAAACACCAAATCTAAAGAGGTCAGACACAGCAAGAGCTTCAACGACAAGCAGAAAACCAAACAACCAACCAAAATGGACAGGGAAGATTACAAAAGTTACAAGAAGCCCAGTTCTCCCACTTCCAACTTCGACGATCAATTCTATGACGATGACGGTGATGGTTTGATGATGAAAACCGTCAACAGAAAGAACATCCTCCAACAATACAGCAACGATTCCACCGGTAGCGAATCCGAAGCCGAGTCTGACTTGACCAGTGACGATCCCTACGATTCCATCCTGATAGACGACCAGAAGGTGAAGAAAAACGAAAATCCCTTCCCCAACGTAGCCGAGTTGGGCAAGAAGCTAGAAAAACTGTCCAAAACCAGCAAATTTTCACCGAACAAAGACGGCAACCAGTCCAGGAACGCCATCCAGGAGAAGAACAACATAAATAACAGACTGGAAAGGAACGGTTCCATCAAGAATAGTCCAGATATGGAAAACGAAGATATCTACCAGTACCACGACAAGAGACACACGAACAGTTTCAAAACTTTTGGAATAGAACCCCAGAGTAACGAAAACGACAAGAAAGAGGAGGTGGACGAGAGATATTACAGCCAAAGTCACAAAAGGAACGAGACTAGCACTCAAGATAAACGACGCTACTACGCCGAGTCTAACAACAGAAACAACTCTACGGAGAGAAGAGGCCGCCCCAGCTACGAAAGCATCGATGGGGACGTGGAGCGTCGCAACAGAGACAACAGGATGATGACCAGCAACAGAAGATCGCACGAAGATCCCGATAGTAAAAGGGACAATCTCGCGAAGTACTACGATTCCACGAACGACGAGTTGTCTGACGCTGTGGACAACAAACAGTTTCTTCCCAGGACCAAGCTGGCGAAGACGAATAGTAACAATTCGACTCACAGCAAGTACGAACAAGAGATAGGGCTGATGGAATACGGAGAGACGTTGCAAAAGAGGCTGAAGAACCCCGAGTACAACTCGAAGTTTGACGAGAAATCGCCGCATAACGGGAACATGTACGGGCCTTGGTACGACCTGTGGGGCTTGGATTCCACCGGCACGTCACCAAGAAAGTGAAGCGGCGATTTAAAAATTCTCAGGAATTTTAAATCGCCTTTTATCGACCAAAACGCGCCTTGTGCATGTGCCATTTTTGCCAATGTCTGTCTTCCGCCTTATTTATTTTATGCCGCACGTTACCAGTATAATTACGGTGTTGGTTCTTTGCAGGTCTAACAATTTCGCAACCATAAAACTCCGAAAAACTAACCCGAGCACAGCTGACCGAGCCGCTTCACTCATATTAGAATAAACACAACCATACTAATTCATTCACTGGTTAATACACTTATTATTTTATATACCACACGACGAATAAACCTGTATTTTTTATATTTGTCAATATTCATGCTAGTCTAATAATATAGGGTAAGGTGAAGCCGCTCGCGGGTGGGGTCCTAACTTTTTCCTCGCAGCGTAGACGCGTTACAAGCCGCGCAAATATTTAGGACCTCGCTGTCGGGCGGCGCATAAAGAAGAGAATATGCTCATAATATTTTTTGATATCACCATTATTGTATATCTTGTGTATATTTCATAGGATGGGTTTCGGAAAATAGTTCATAACGACCTAATTTAAGCTTTCCTTATTCTGTACATATTTCTACACGGTGGTTGGGAGTGGTGCAATATATAAATATCACTAAAACCGGACAAACTTACTACTGTATTTGCTTCCGGCCCTTCATTAAAAACTAACTAGTCCCGAAACGTCACTTCCGTTATTGGGCTTGTGGAGTATTAAGAGTCTAAGGGGACTGTAAAATTTGCACTTCTTGTTATTTACGAAGATTGAAATTTCGAGACTGTGATAAGTAACTACTGTTTAAGGTGTTTTCAAGCATGCAACTATGCTAGTAAGTTTGATAACTGTTGTACATAATCAACACTGTACATAAGGCTAACGATTTTTATAATAAATTTGCCGTGTGAAATTAAGAAATCAACGATTGAACCGCGAATAGCGACGTTTTTATTAGAGAAACGAAAAAATAAATAATAAATTTACTGGTTTCAAACATTTTTTTGACAATGTACTTTGTCGTTCATAAATCTTTTAAATATTTCAATCTTTACCCCCTACATACGTTACCCAATTGTAAGTAATTTGTTATTAGCATATTACTCCAGTAACAGCCCCATGGAAAAAAAATCGTTGTGTGATAGATTAGACCACCATAATTATGTTTTTGGAACCGCTGGATCCGAAATCGGTGTTTGCATGATGAAGTTAGTTACCTCCTGTTTGAGGTTATTTCAAGGTCAACTTTTGTTTTTTATGGTAATGCAATATCTGACCTCGAAAGAGCGAAAAATAGTAACCGCAAAATCCGCCTGTTTTTGAGACTTTGACAGAGGCGACAGGAAAAATCCTAAAAATATTCTACAAAAATGCAAAAACTCGTCATGAAAAATGAAAATGAGCATTCCTTTCAGATTTTCGAAAATCACCCTTATTTAGGGGTTGAAAAGACAAAAAAGTTAACACATTAAGAAACACCAACAGTTGTAAAACCCCAAATATTTCTGTTGTTATAAAAATAACATTATGAACGTGAAAATATCTAATTTCGTATTTGATACGGTCATGTCCCGATTGAAAATCAACCCTTAATATCCCTAAAGGGGTGAAATCATCGCCTAAACGCCTAAAAATGCAAAAAATATATTAGAAGTTACAATTTTTTTTTCTTTTTCCTTTATACATGATCATTGAACCGCCAATCATTAGATCCGAAGGAAAATACCCCTAAATGAGGGTAAAACCACCCCTAAGTTCAACCATATACGTATAAAAGAAAAAGAAAAATTACTTTTAATATATTTTTGCATTTTTAGGCGTTTAAGGGATGATTTCACCCCTTTAGGGATATTATAGGTTGATTTTCAATCCGGACAAGACCGTATCGAATTCGAAATTAAATATTTTCACGTTCATAATATTATTTTAACAACATAGAAATATTTAGTGTTTTACAACTGTTGATGATTCTTAATTTTTTCACTTTTTTGTCTCTTCAACCCCTAAATAAGGATGATTTTCGAAAAACTGAAAGTGAAACTCATTTTCATTTTTAATGACGAGTATTTGGATATTTTTAGAATATTTTTAGGATTTTCCCTGTCGCCTCTGTCAGTCTCAAAAACGGTCGGAGAAATGGCTTTTTTTGCGGTCACTCTTTTGTACGTTGGAATACTTGGTGGAGTTATTTTTTCATTTTCAAAGTCATCCGAAGATCAAATTTAATATCAATGTAGCACTTCTCAGGATGGTATCTCGTCACCATACTGAGATATCGGAAAAGTGACGTCTATAAAAGTTATTTAGGTCATCGGAGACGATCACTTAGAATTGACCTAGATCATTCGGATTCAGCGACCCCAAAAACGTATCGGTATGGTGGTCTGGTGTATCATACATACATTTTTTTCCCGTGGGACTGTGGTGTGGAATTATTATTATATATAATTACATTTTTATTATTTAAACTCTATTTTTCTATTTAGTTTATAAGGTACTTTTCTTATTTGAAATAGTCGTACTGGGGTGTCAAAAAGAATTTTTTAATTTCAACGTAACTTTTGTCTTAAATTTCTACATGATTGGAAAAATTATACGGAACTTAAAAGTGTATATAATCAGCATTTCGTTTGAAGACAAAACTAGGTAAAATTGTCAGATCAAAGATCAGGGCGTAATTTTGAATGGGGTCATATTTGTACCATGAACTAGGCTAGGTGTAAAAAACAGCGCGCACATACCTAATAATCCAAATAAATGGGCCTTTAAGGAGGTTTGTCTGATTTGGAATTGACGAACAAATATTCATAAAAAAAAATTAATATAAGTAATAATATGAAGAAAATCCTCAAAAAAAATTATGACTAGTTTGGATACCAAGAGACGAGATATTAATAAAATAAATTTTCACGATTTAGTACAGTCTTATGAGAATGCAGATTTTTTGTTTTTTCCACTTAGAATGCGCAACAATTGACAGCCACTTGTATAAATTTGAAACCGATATCTAAGGAATCGTATGACAGCTTGTAGAAATCGATTAGGTACTTGTAAGATACATAATTTATAATAATTTTCCTTCAAACTGCTGTCGTTGACTAACTTATCCTCCATATGCGTAATAGCGGCAACACCGCGGTCTCGACGTAGCGTATTATTTGAAATTCGTGAGCCGAGCGCACCAGCCCAGTGCAACGTTGCCAAATTTATATTCTATTATCACTCCCACTTAAAATTACGCCCTGTAATCGCGTCCTTTGGACTTTGGCACCCTGTACGTAGCAAGGAATAGTCGGGATCAAAGTTGACCCCGGTGTACGACCGCAATATCTCATTATCTAGTGGTACATGCTGATTTGACCCGTCCAGTTTTTTACGACAGTTGTTATTAATACAAAATAGGCGTGTTAGAATAGCCTAAATGGATCGATATCGTACCTCCACTTGTATGGCAGGGGTGTAGCGTAAATTTTACCTTTAACATATAAATGGTTATAGTTCAATAAATTGAAACGAAACAATAATTGTTAGTGTAATAACTGTTGTTGTCCACCGTACATGCTGTAACTGATTCGTTTTGTATAGGTATAGCGTTTACTGTTACAAGTCTATTGTATATCAACTTGCAATTAAAATTTATATTGTTTATGTCGAGCTTTCTTTCCATGTCCCCGTCCTCACGACAAATATACCTGTTTGCTAGAAATACGCGTTCAGTCTGGAGAAAAAAAAAACAAGCTCGCTCGGCAGTAAGTTCCTTTGAAATATGGAATGCACAAGTCGCGATGAGAGGAATAAAATGAAAAGCGTCGACGTCGTGAAGACGTCGTAAATCGCGGGAGCGACATGAAGTAAATTAGTCCGGAGCTTTGCTATATTAAAAATGCTGCCGCCGGTGGGTGCTGCTGCACGTGAGCTCCGCCTGAGCGATATTTTATTTGCACTGTGTCCATTTATATTTCGCTGGGAACTCTTTTACACTGTCTGAGGTTTGTTATACTCAGTGGCACCAAAACAAATTAAGTTCACATACGAATCGAGCATAATTTTTTGGTAGTATGCAACCACCTATACCTTTAAATCGTTTGTGGACTGTCTAACTTTAGTTTTGCTTAGAATATTTTCATGGAATGAGTTCATATTTAAGAAAGAGCAAAACAAGACCGTTTTTTTTTAAATAGACCGATAACGAGACCGATAAGCAAGGTAAGTTTTTGAAATTCACCATTTATTACAGATAGACTGTCCGTTTGACCAAATTAGTTCATATTCAAAGTTATTTGAAGGTCAACTACTATTTTATGATCGTGATACAACTTTTGTCCTCCGATTCTGAAAGAGCGAGCAATTTTACGGTTGGGTACGTGGTTAATTTATTTTTTAAGATCATGTTCAAAGTTAATTGAAGGTCAACTCCTGTTTTTTATGGTAATACAATTTTCGTCCCCGAATTCTGAAAGAGCGAGCAATTTTACATTCGAATATGTGGTTGATTTATTTTTCAAGGTCGTGTTCAAGGTTATTTGAAGGTCGACTCCTGTTTTTTATAGTATAACAGTTTTTGACAACGGATTCTTAAGGAACGAGTAATTTTGCATTTGGATACGTGGTTGATTTATTTTGCATTACTTTGCATACTCTAACGTAAGGGTTATTTTTCGTTACTTGTGAGTACTTAGGTAAAAAAAAACAATTTGTTCTATAACACTATCGGTAATTTTCAATAAAACATTACGAAAAACTTGTTTTATTTTTAGTCAATTAGTTACCCCCTCTCCCTACATTTCCCACTGAACATCTACATAGAATGCCCTTATTGACCATTGAACACACAGATAATACGTAGGTAATATAAAGATTGTATCAGTATTAAAAGTAGAAACAGTGACAGTGTATTAGCTGTAATGTTATGTGATGTGCTATATCCCTAGTAAGTAGGGCTGTCAGAACTAAGCCGCGGGACAGAGGCGTACGCATTACTTATTAAAAAGCAAATTAAATCATTTACAATACACCACCATAAACACCAACGGATAGGAATTAATTACGTAACATCCGCAACAGTATACTCACGTGACGTAAACGTGAAAAGCATTCCGAGACAGCGGCTCGCGTATGTCTCCATGGAGCCGCTTGGCACGCCATTGAATTGCGGCTCTCTCTGACAGCCTTACTAATAAGTAAGCAAAATGTGGAAACACAATTATTGGAAAATTATTTTATAAATATCCCTGACAGTATTTGATCAATAAATTATTTCATTTTAAACTCTGTCATCCAATTTCTTCCAATTTAGTGACCAATAGGGGTGCACTTGCAACTAAACATGTCACTGTGGCAACATTAAAGGTGACAGAAAGTATCTACTTGTCTAACAACTATAAAAATATCTCCTTTGTTGTCTGCACTATATGATTTTATATTTAAATTTATTCCTGGTATCTTAGAGGACATAATATATGAAAAAAAAATCATTTAATTTTTATTCACAATTTAAATTATTATATATTTAATTGTCAGTAAACAGTTAATATACTCTGTTTCCGGGTTAGTTATAAATAGCCTTAATTATCGCCAAGGCGAAATTGAAAAACTACAAAATGCCTACAATTAAAGCACAGATAACAAAGCGAAAAATAACGGTACAACCTTCTACGGTTATTAGATTCTTAAAATATTTTTAAACTAGAATTGATTTGCGTTAATCCAGTTCTAATGGTTTATGACATAGTTAATGCTAAATTATTTAAATTAGGTCAAACGATTTCCTTATTACCTAATTTATTATTGCACAGAAAACTTAAAAACTTGAAATATAATTATTTTAATCTATATTTCTGAACAAGTCAATGATTAAAGGATAAAATATTCCGAAATAAATGTGACACACGAGCATTACAAAGAAAAAAACTATCATACTGATAATGGTATAAATTCAAATGGATATGAAGCTTACTCAGGTGTTCCCCAAGGTCCCAACTTGGGGCCGTAACTGTTTCTTTATTTCTATTAGTGATCTTCCACATCATGAGCCATCCTAGGTGACTTCTATTTATAGGCGGGTGATTGGACACAACTTTTTCGTGGGCTCGTGTTATTAAACATGTTATTCGATTCTATTTTCAATATTTAGTAGTAAGAGTTACCACAAGCAACACCAGCGCCGTGTAATCGTTACTAGAAGCAGTTCATTGTACATCATTGACATTGATGTAAAGAAAAATCGAATAAACCGCTTGATTTCTCGCCTTAAAATGTTCCCATCGGGATTCTCTGGACACTGTTTACACAAGCCAATTTAGCGTAAGGCAAAAATATAACGGTGCTCGCAAATAACGCTACAGAGTAACCAAATATTTACCCCGCAGGGTATTACGGATC